CTCGTACTTTTTCTTCTATAAATAGTGAAAGGTTGAAAAGCCCGACTGTCATTCTTATAAATGGCTTATATATAGTTGATATTTATTATATACTGTTACATTTTAAAATCATACTCATTATGCCGGCCCATTTTTGCAATATTTGTATCCTCTTTGCTATGCTAGTTCAAGTGTGCTAAAATTTAATGATTATAACAGTAACAGGCGTTTGGCTAAATTTTTGAGCATTAAAATTAATTAATTACTTAATGAAGCATTCAATATCGAATTGCAGTAAAATAATTTCGAACATGACTGTAAATTAACATTAATACTTTTTCAATTTTGCAAATAACATTTACAACATTTTTACTTTTCTAATATAATATTTAAACATTTTTTATCTACTTGTGCTTTTTTATGTTTTTTTTTTCCTTTTTTATTTGGAAATTCAATTAAATTCCGTGTATATACCAGTATGTACGTGCATACTTATAGAAAGTTAACAAAAACTCTTCAGATATCTAGCTAGCTATTCATTGTTTTAACTTACCTCTGCATAAATTAGAATGGTTTTTGAATCATTCCTTACATTGCTGCGCTGTATTTATTTGAAAAATAAAATTATTTGAAAAAAAAAAGCGATTTTTTTTATTCATTTCTATTTCTTTTTTATTGTTTTTTACTTTTATTTAACTATTATGCAATACTAAAATGTTACAAGTTTTCCCTGTGCGCTTCTAAAAATTAATAAGTAAAACAAAAAAAAAATTTCAACAATAAATGGTTATGTTCGAATAACATTACAAATGAGTACTAAACAAAAGAAAAAGAAGAAGAAAAAATAAAAACTAATTTTATTAAAAAATTTACTAAGTACTTAAGTATGCAATTTTGAGAAAAAAAAATGCAATATCATCACTCTTGTGTATAACAAACCCATCACACCAGTCACCACCATATGATTGTCTTTCTAATAATATTTTAAAAATTTTTCTATATTACAACAAAGGGAAAATATTTTTTGCGAGAAGGAACAATTTGGCAATGCTGCACCTATAATAGCAAGCAAAATAATAAAGAGAAAAATAAAAATGAAATTTTTATTATTAATTTGGATTTGCTTGTTTCTTGTTACCTCTCTTTTAACTATAAATGTACGCTTACATAGCAGTAGCATAATAGAAGAAGAGAAAAAATTAAAAATTAAAAAAAAAAGATGCATAATATAGAAAGAAATAAAACAAAGCACAAAAATTTTGAAAACTGGTTTTTTAATAATAAAACAAAAAAAATAAGAAAATGAAATAAAATTTAATTCTGTTATTGGCAAATAACAACAATTACCACAGCAAAATCACCTTACCGAATTTTTTTCGGTTTTTTTTTTGCTAACACTATTAAAAAATAAAAAAAAGCTCTTCTGATCTGATCCATGACAAGAAAGAACAGCAAAAAGTAAACAGGGCAAAACACAAGAAATACCTTCTCAAAGAAATTAAAAATCAAATCACACCATGAACAAACAACACACATTAACACAACAAGAAACAAAAGAAAAGAATGAGTAAGAATATAAAAACAACAATAATAATAGCACCACACATATTGTACAAATACATCGGTATTTGACTGTAAACCTATAAATATAAACAGGAAAAATAAAAGAAAAAATTTAAGAAACTTAAAATATTTAATGATGTCTCAAGAGTTCAATTGTTAAAATCTGTTACCTACCTGTAATTCCCTTATATTGTACTTATTGAATTGTAATAATTGACAATGTCAATTATGTATGCAAAATTAAGTGTTGTTTTAATAGTAGTCAAAATTTAACGTTAATCATTACATACATATATAGCTAGTACAGGCTTTAAACAATGTTCATTATTTTATGGATTATTATTTTATGGAACAAGATTGCATATTTTTAGGAACAATATGTAAAATTGCCTGCTTTTAGGGGTAGTAGAAGAGGGAATATATTACAGTTTCGATAAACAATAACCATTTAATTAAAATTTTAATGGACATTTGTATGAATCTTGCAATGCTTTGTGGTTTTCACAAATAAACAAAAAAAAAAAAAACGCTTAGCCTAAAATTATGCAATTTTTTTTTTTAATACAAACTTACGTGTTATGCTTATAATATTGCAAATAACAGTCCACTTGTGACTCACACTCACACTTGCATACATGTGTACATACCATTTATATGAACTAATAAATTAAATTGATTTCAAATACTATATTTTAATGCACATACTTAAAAAATAATTATTGCATAATAATAACTTAAAAAAAAAAGTCTTAATTACAAAATAATTTTTAAAAATTTCAAATTTGAAATTATAGAGGTTTAAACGTTACAAGTAAACTGGCATATTAAATATACATGGAATGTGGTGTATAAGCATTCCTTGAACACACAAAAAATAAGAAAAAAAAACTATTTCATTTTACCTTGATGATGATTGCATGCAATTTATAGAATTTAAGCGGATTTGCGAACACTGTGTACATACATGTATGCATACGTGGAAATCTGCATGGTATACATAAAATTGAGTATGAGAACAGAATTGCAATGCAATGCATAATGTTATGTCTTTTTGAGTTTTTCTCTTTTATTGGTGTTGTAAGAGTAAAAAGGAGAAAACTAGAGAAAGAAAAAGCAAAAAAAACGGAATTTAATAAACTCGCTTGCATTTTAAGAGTTTTGTTAATGTAAGCTGCTCGATTAAAATTATAATTACTATTATTTTTACTATTATAGATATGACTATACATGAATACATTAGTAAATTATGTGTTGTTTATAACAACACAAGTACATACACATCTATAAAAGAGATCAAAATTTTAACATGATTTGGCATGATTTTTTATTTCTATTCCTGCCTTCCATAAATGTAAAAATCTTTTAAATTTTATATCTATATACATACATACATATTGTACATACATATATATAAATATATATATTAGGTGTGTATGCTCAATTGTGTAAACTTTGATTTCTAATATAACTGTTTTGTGTATACATACATTGATATATGCAATTCTGGTTTTTTTTATTATTAATTTTTAATGGCATTTAACTGGTGTTATGTCTAATCACCCACTCTGTGGTATATTGAACTATTAAGCAACAAATAAGAAAATCAAAAAAAAAAAGGCAAAAAAAAATTATAATCATGATCATAAAGTAACAAGAGCACCCAAACCAATGTAAAACTATCACAATACTTTTGTGCTACAACTACAAAAAATGGTTAATGCAACATTTTTAAATTCAATTTTTGAAAGTCAACTTTATGTTATAGTTCTACACATATATGTGCATGTATGTATGGTGTTGTGTGAATGATATTGATGGTGATATTACTGTTTATTATATTTGTTATATACTGTTATAATATGAAAAAAAAACAGAAAAATTACAGCAAAACAAAGAGCAAAGAGGAGAAAAATTCTTTAAAATACGGATTAAATGTATTTTATAATTATTGCTTTGTAACACGTCTTTGACTTGTCAACTAGTGATTTATAAGCTGTTGTTGTTGTTAATATTATTATTGTTACTGTTGTACTTAATATTACTGTTGTTATTGTTGTTGGAGTTGTCAATTTCTGTTTTAAATTCTTGTTTTTTTTTTGTTTACTTAATATTCGGCTGATTTTTCTTAACACTATTAAAATACATGCTTGTACGTAAAGAGTGTGCCTAAGTTAGTGCCTTAAATAACACAATATTCAAGATAAAGCACCAAATGTATATAAGAAAAGGTGCGGTTTTGAACTCAATTCAATTTATTTAACTTGATTTTTTTTTTGAATAAGAAAAAAAAGAATTGATAATTTATTGTGAAAATTACAATTTTTTTTTTCTGTACTCAATAAAATGTTAATGGGGCGAGTTATAAAATTCATTGATTATATTTAAATTAGAAATAGGATCTAAAGCTAAAAGAACAAATAAAATTCAATTAAAATTTAAAATAGTATTGATAACGCTATAAAATTTAGAATAAATTAATTTTTTTGAGTTTTGTCCATAAATTACGTTAAGAAAGCATGTTAGTTCTAACAACATTGTAATAGTTCTAACAACATGTTAGTTCTAACAACATGTTTTCCGAAACTTAATTAGATTGTGCTATTTAAATTACTTATTTAGTTCATTTTTAATAGTAAAGCAAACGGAGACACTACCTTCAACACGAGTACTTAAAACTAAATACAAACAAATTTGATACCATTGATAACCTTGATAAGTACAGTCTTTTCCAATCATACCTACTTTCTGACCATTACGTTTTCAGAGACTATGTAACACCAAAGTATCAACCCGACTTATCATGTCTTTGCGTATAATTCTTAAATTTCTATAAAAAAATTTCACCTAAAAACTGATTTTCAATATCGACCAATACAATATCAATAACACTTAGGAAATAAAATTATTGAGTATTATTGAGTATTGAGACTTGAGTCAACTCAAATTAACACATGAGCGGCGTAGAAGAGAAGTTTTTTTGACAACACTTAAGGCATCATTTTTTTTTTGATTTTATCAAAATTCAGTTATCCGTCACAGTAATTTGTAATGTTCATAATGCTTATCATAAAATTTTAACACGTCAGATGAAGAACAATTAAAAAAGAAGCGAAAAGATTATTTTCAATTAGAATTTTTAAAATCAGATCACATTTTTTTTACAAAAACAAAAAAAAATGTTAGATTTTGTACAAAAGAGGTGTAAATTGCATATAAATCGAAATGCTTCGCCAATACAACACCCAACAGTGGTGGAATCTATCGAGGATGATGATTCTTTTACAAGGAAATGTTTTAGCACTAATTTATTGTTTTCAAAAAAAATTTGGGTAAATAAATTTTAGTTTTTCATTGAAAATTATTCACATTTGTTATTTGTTTTCCAAAATATTAAAATCTTTTCCTAAATTTATTTAAAAAAACACATTCTAATCTTCTAATTTTAATTAAATTTTCAGAATGAACTTTTTGATGTTTTACGTAAAAGACGTAATCGTCCCGATACATCAGATGAGGATTTAGGTTTACCAAGAAGTCCTGCAACACCACAGCGTAAAGACTTAACGACAACAATTACGACATCAAGTACAGCAAATTCAAGTACAAATGCTCAAAATCAAAGTGAAATATCATCATTGAGTTTATTAAGTGCTGGTAGCTCTGATATTGATGATGAAATATCATCAAATTATGGTGATTCAATATCAATTGATCGAACTGCATCAAGTACATTGTCTTCATCTGTGAAAATTTTGCAAACATCATCATTCGAAACATCAAAAACAACATTCGATGATTTAGATTTAAGTGTAACTGATGGTAATGCAATTGGAACTGGACGTCTAAGTCATTCTGCTGCTAAACACAAAATGGCTATTAGACCGAAAAAGAATAAAGGACCAACACGACATCGGCGAATTGAAGTAAATTTGTTTTTTTAATAAAGGTTTCATTTAAATAATTTTTTTTTATGTAGCCCACACTTTTACCTTCAACCCCAGAAGTTAATGAAGATTCTTTAAGAAATTTAATTTCACAAGATATCAAAGGTATAATAATCAAATTTTTTTCAATATTTCAAAATTTTTAATAATAATTAATTTTGAAAATTTTTTAATTTCAGAATTATCTAATAAAGAAAAATCACGTTCTTTACCGCATGGTATTAGTCCTAATTTAATGAATCAACAAGGTGATAGTCCAACAAACAGTAATTCTACATGTGGTAAAGAATCAAATATAAAACGATCAAAAACAGAAAAAGGAATACCACAGTCAAATTCAAACTATTTCCGGAATATTACAAAAACTGGAACCAGTGAAAAGGATAACAACACATCAAAACCACAAAATGAGACTGGATTTTTCAAGCGATTTTTACATCGCGGATCTAAAGGTAAAGGTAACCCAAAATCTTCTACTCATATTTCTTCTAATATGGAACATAATTTAGATGAACTTGATGATAATCATTACGGTAAATCCAATTTAATTCAAGGTGAGAGCTTAATTTTGTTCTTAATTTTAATGAATTAATTATAATAATTATATTTTTAAATAGGTCTACAACGTGAAGACATTAATCTCGAATATTCCAAACAAGTTGAACAAACTCGTAATGAAATCCGACGTGAAATTATGAATGAAGCAAATACTGGTCTAAGTTTAATGTTAAATAATTTTATATTATCGAAATCAGAGACTAGTAATAATAAAATGAATGCAGAAAAACCTATTCCAAGCCCATCAAAACCAATAATTTCAGCTAATAAACCAAAATCTGGTCCGGCTGCAAGACAGAGAATAATGCCAAAAGATATAACAACATCACCAAATTCAAGTTTCAAAAGCTCTTCTGAAATATTGGAACAACATTATAATAATTCAAACCAGCAACAACAATATGAAGATGAACAGAAAGTCAATTTAAAACAGAGATTTTCTGATAGTTCTGATGGTAGTCGTGGCAGCATGGATATGTTAAAACTTTCTAATATTTCACTATCGACATCTCCAGATTATAAGTATAATTCAAGAGGTTCACAAATGAACTCTTCAAATGAAGAAATTTTTAATTCTGAAACTTATATAAGAGATATTTCGGAAAATTCTAAAACTCAAACAGAACATTTCGAAAAACATCATCATATCACACAATCAAAAAGTGTCAATTTATATCAACAAAAATTACATCGTTCGGAAAATTTATTGGATACTCTATTAGAAGTACCAACAAAACAACGAAAATCTGTTGAAAAATCTAAAAGTTTCCGACTGTATAATGGAAATAGCAATAATTTTGAAATTAATTCTAGTCTACAGAAAGCCGACAATATGCCAAGTTTACCGGATCTCACATTTTCACGGAAATCATTTGAAGATTTAGAACATGCTGAAGAAGCTTCACTTTCTTTAGGCTTTGAAATAAATGACAATAATTTAATTAATAAAAATTCACGAAGCTGTACATCACAAGAAGATACATTCCCTTTGAGACAAGGAATATTCACTAAAAACATCATATTAACTACGGTTAATCCAAAACAAAGCAAAAATATATCAGAAATTGAAGAAAGCATTGATAAACTCTTAGTAAAATCACCACCTCAGTTGATAATGCGAAAATCTGCTAGTGCGAGCGAAAGTATAAACAGTAATACACAAGCTCAAAATGTTATTGTTACACATATGTATCGTAAAAATAGCCCAGAACGACATCAGACGTCATCTGAATTTAAAGTACCATCAGCTAGTATTTCAATACGTAGCGAAGCAAGCAAGCCAATAAGAATATCAAATCAATTGTCTGCAAATAATCTTAGTGCTAAAGAGAATCGTAAATCGTTAATTGAAATATCTAAATATAACGATGTAGAGCCCTTGGTGAAAAGCAATTCTTCCGTAATGTCAAAATCATTAGATTCCAAATCTGGTACCGAATCAATGTTAGGTACTACAAAAATACAATTACTTAAGGGATCTCAACAGAATTTGAAACCTGATAAACATTTTGGAACTAAGGACACTACTACATCCTTGTCTCATTCTATAAATGTTAGAAAAACTTTTGAAAACAAGTTGAGTGAACCAGAAAAAGAAAAACGGAAATCTGTTGATTTGGGAGAAATTAAAAAGGTGTTTACACCGAAAGTTGAAAGCTCAGAGAGACTGACTCCTATTTTACGGCAAAATAGTAAAGAAGATGATGCAAAACAAGTTGATCGAGACTCTAAAAATAATATTACAAAATCAAATCGAAGTCAATCGATTTCTGAAAAGACAGCTGAGGATAGAAGTAATTTTTATTTTTATAAAAAACATAAAAATTTGCAAATATTTTCTAAATTCCATTTTTAAATTTTTAGGCGTTCCTGAATTTATGAAAATTCAACTGAACAAAGTTGCTGAACCTTGTCGACCAAAAACAAACATAGTACTTTCAAAAATTATAAAACAACCAGCCGAAAATGAAGGAAGAAAGTTAAGCCCATCACCACCAGAAACACCAACTGTAGAATTACGTCAAACCAGTTATGATAAAAATTCATCTGAAACTAAACCACCATTACCACCACTGGTCACGGAATTAGAAAAGAAGCGTAATAGTTATGTTTCTAATATTCAAGAAACAACAACATCTACATCGAGTAAATCAAATGTTTTGGCAACATCACGTATACGAAAATCCTTTGAAGAAGAAGAAGTTGTTGTATTACGTAATCACTATTCAACTGAGAAATCACAAATTTCATCAGTATCACCAAAATATGAACGTAGAAAATCTGTAAATGATGAAAAATTAAAATATGAAAAGAAAATTGAAGAAATGCAAAAATCTGAAAGACATGCGTCAGTTGAATTAAGAAAATCATCAATACATGACGATTATACCATTAATAACAACAATAGTAGTAATAACAATAACAATAACAATATTAACTCCAACAATATTACATTATCACCTAGTTCAACCGCTATTCCAGCTGCTGTTTTAATGAGGAAAAAGTCGTTAAGTTTAGGAAATCAAGTTGAAAAGAATAAAGATGATTCAACACCGGAACTAATGAAAGTTTTTGCTCGTAGATCTTTAAAAATAAAAGATGAAGATATTCAAGCATTTATTGATGAAACAGCAACACAAGAAACAAAAAGTAGATTAATAAAAACTACTTTTAGTAATAATAATAACAACTGCAATATTGGTAGTGGTGTTAGCGGTGGTGGTAATTTAGATAGTGATAAAGAAAATCAATCGTCAAGTGAAGAAAAACTTAATAAATTAACGAAAATTGAACAACATCAGCAACTAAATCAAAATAATAATAATCAGAAATTAGTCACTTCAAATATATACGGTCAAAAAACAAATCAACGTGAAAATAATGAAAAAAGTCAAAAAACTTTAAATTCAATAAATAATTGCCAAAATAATAATAATAATAATAGCAGCAGCAATAATCATAACATAAACAGTGGAAGCACCGGTTTTAATATATTTAACAGTAATAATAACAATAATAATAACAACAGCAATAATAATAACCACAACAACAATAATAACAACTTACATTCCACACCAACAAAGGCATTTAATCGTTTTAGCAGTAACATTCATAATAATAATAACAATAATAATAATAACATTAATAACAATAATAGTACTAATAGTAACAGTAATAACATTAATAATTTAATCAACAGTAACAGTAGAAATTCTCTATCAACTATGATACCATCATCTAATAACAATAATAATAATAAAATTGGTATAACATTAAGAACATCAAATATATCATCAATGACAACAGCTGCAACACCATCAACTGGAAGTATAAATAATAATTTAAATAATAACAATGACAGCAATAGTAATAACAATAATAGTAACAATAATAGTAACTATCATAATAGTGGTGTGCTAAATCCTTTATATAATAAAAAATCAAATGTACGTCATACAATTGGACCAACAATTACAACAACAGCAAATACTACAAATTTAATACATAATTCACATAATATAGAATCAACAAAACAAACAAATTCAATTAATATACCACCAATAACAGTAACACAAGGAGGGATGCCAGCAGATGAAGTTGAATTTAAAGGAATATTACAGAGGCGTGCTGAATGGGAGAAACGTGTTAAAGAAGCAGCAAAGTGATTTTAAAATTAAATTTACGCAAACATTACGTAATTAAAAATTTAATAAGAAATATTTAAATTAATTGTATAATTAAAAAAAAAAACTAGATTTAAATGCAAAATATAATTTGTTTGTTTTAGTTTTTGTTCGATTAACTATAAATTTAAGCTTTTATTCTTGGTTAAATATGAAAAAAATTTAAAATTTTTTTTCAATATCTAAAAATTTATCTCTTTCGCATTTTCATTTTAAATAATAAAAATATTCTAGTTTTAAAATAATTACTAAAAAACAAAACTTAATATTAATTCAATAAGTTTTTGATTTTCACATTTTTGTTAATATTTAAATTTTTTTTAATTTACTTAAACAATTTTTTTTTTAATTTTTTATGCAAATAATATTTGTGATTTATTAAAAATTTAATAATATGTTGACTGAGAATTTCTAAATATTTTTAATAATATACAGAATAATAACATTATAAAAAAAATGAAAATAATTCAATTTGTTCGATTTTGTCTATTTTAAAATCGATACTATTTTGCAATGTTTAACTATTTCCATAATTTTTATAGCTCTTTAATATTTACATCACAATTTATAATTTTTTAAAAAATAATCTTTAAAAACTCTGAAAACTTACTGATTATTATCTAAAAATGCATGTATTCAAAAGAAAAAAACAAATTAATCTGTCCAATATTTAAAACTAATGTCAAAAGCACTGCTAAAAAATGTAGCCAGACACATAGATACTTGCTTACATTTCAATTAGTATTTTTAGTATATTGGTGATAATAGCTTATACAATATTTTAGAATTTTTTGTCCAAACATCATGACAATTCTCAAAATACAAAATTTTAAACTACTATTAAAAAATTTAAATGTATTATAAATGAAAAATAAAATATTGTGTGTTTAATATACGTGTTCTCTTCATACTAACAACTAAAACTATTGTAATAAAAAATTTTCTATTATAAATTTACAATAAATTTTTTTATTATGAAGACAATATTTTTATATAATTAAATTCAGTAAGATGATATTTAACTCGGACAAGATGACATTTTATTTTGTCGCAAATATCAAAATTATTGATTGTTTTTTTTTTCAATTGCTTTCATTTTAAATATATAATGAGTTTTTGAAGAATTTTTGAAAATAAATAATATAAAAATATTTTTGAATAATATAAAACTATTTGCGCTCTTGTATTTAATTTTTAACTTTAAATATAACAAAAAAATTATTACATTTCTAATATATTTTATTAATATTTAGTATGTATGTTAAAATAAATATAAAATAAAAAAACATAACTAAACTAGCGTAACTGAGATATTAAGTTATTTGTTAAAAAAAGCAAAGAATATGCGAAAATTTATGTGATTTATTAAAATGAGCATGTTTGTAATATTTAGAATGAAAAATAAAGTACTAAAATATAAATAATTAGAAAAAATATATGTATTACAAAATTAATGGCAAAAAATATTTTATATTTGGTTACAAAAAGAAATATTAGTGACATAAAATTTTGAGATTTTTTCTCCTTAAAGCCTCTATCAAATTGTTTAAGATTAAAAACAAAACTGTTATAAATTTATAATAAAATTTTAAAATTGAATAGAATTTTGTTTGCTTCCAAATTATATTGTACTAATATTATTGTAATGAATAAGAATTTTCATTGAAATTTTTCACAAAATTAGTTCTTACAATAAGAAGTGCACAGCTTTTAAAGTTCTGCACTAAAATTATTTTAAATAATAAATTTAGTATTTATATGAAGTTTTTCTATATTTTAAATCTTTTTTTTATGTTTAACAAAAAATAGATGGTAAATCGCTTGAAACATCACATATAATTTTTAAAAACTTATTTTTTCATCATATAATTTTTATAATAATTTTTACCTTTAAAAAAATGTAAGGGAAGTGAGTGATATATGAAACTTGTATAACACTTGTATTATTAACAAATTCTTTAATAAATTAATTAAATTAAAATAAATCAAAAGTTTTATAAAAATTTGCCAATTTTCTTTTTAAACATTAAATCAAAAATATTATATTTAAATCAGGTTTTACATAAAATAAGCACTAATATATAAAGTAAAATATGATTTAGACTAATTTTCAATGGGATTTAGTTTTTCAATTTGTTAATCAGTACTTGTAGTTGAAAAATATAAAAAAACTAGAAAATTGTTCCACTCGAATTGGCAATCTTTGAATTGAAAATTTTCAATTTCTAAAGATGAGTTCGAAAATGTATTTTATTTTTTATTAATTGTTATGAATTGTTCTGAAAGTAAAAAATTTTTATAAAAAACAAAAATAACTTTTGTAGATAATTACAAAATATAGTGGATGCAGCGAGTGTTTGTGCAAAATTTCTAATCTAATGTTTTATTTCTCTTTCTAAATTATTTGAATATTTTAACCCACTCCAATACTTTTAAAAAATTAAATGATCACTAAAATAGTATTTGATTTTTTTTAAATAAGTATGTATCATCAATTTATTAATATACCACAGGATTCTTATTGCAGAATGCAGATAGCATTTGTATATACACTTATTTTTTTTTCTATTATAAATATAAATTTCTATTTTTATTAAAATATAATATTAATTATATAAGTTGATTAATCAAAATGTATATATTATATACAAAACAAGAATATATAATGTATATAACAATGAAAAAAAAATTAATGTTAATAATAATTCTTATTATTCTATATTAAGTAAGTGTAAAAAGTTAAGGGAAATTTCTAATTTCTAATTTAGAAATTGATAAAACAATACAAAAATAAAAACAAGAAGAATTGAAATGAAATGAATGTTTTAATTTCAAGCAAATGAAAGAAAGTGTGAAAAGGTAAAATATAAAAAAAAATTTGTTAATTTTAAATGAAAAATATTTTAAGTATATACACGTATATAAATGTACACAAAAAAAAATTAAACAAATAATAATACAAAAAAATAAAAAAAATATATATATAATTTTGTTTTATTCAACATTTTAAAAGAATATTAGAGATCTTGTAAAAGTTCTTCCTTTAATCAATTTAAAATAAATAAGTTTAAATAGCATTTAGATCTTTCATAGGTTCATAGTGTCTACGTATTGGAAGTGAGCGGTTACTAATAATGTGTTCTTTTAATATGAAATGTCAATAAATTAGTTTTATAAAAATCGAGTTCTGCCTTAGAACGTATAAGTTTTCTTTTTGACTTAGAATTATCAGCTCAGTGCTAAAATTTCAAAAACACTTTATTTTCATTAAAAATACAGAATTACTACAGAATGAGACGAAATATCTTATTTTATTGCAATATTGAATTACTCTATAAAATTAAAATGAAATTTTATTTGAAAATTTTAATTTCCTATTACCAACAAAGTTTGTCGGCTAAGAGAATGAAAACGATGCAAAAAATCGTCGTGTAAACACAGCTATTTAAAACCAATTATTTAAGACAATTCAAAAATTTGAAGAAGTTTGATAAAATTTAATCGATAATCGATAACAAAATAAAAAATTATAATCGATTATTTATTTCAAATTCTCAATTTTAAAAAATCATGACAATTGAAATAAAATAAAATGACAATTGAAATAAATAAAATTTAATTTTCAACTTAATTTCAAATAAAATTGTTGTTAATTAATTATTTCACCATGAATTCTCGTAAAAGTGTAAAATATTTTCCAATATTTAATTTTTCGTGTTCAAATTAAAATTTCAATTTTTAATTTTTGTAGATCAGATCAATAAAGAAAAGAATAACTGTATCAGAACCAGTTCCAAATACTACAGAGACTCGGAAGCATACAATACGTACGAGCAGACCAACTTTTTTAAACGAAATTCAAAGGGCTTTAGAGATACGAAAAGCAAATAAAGTGAGATTTGACTATATTATTCAAAATTAAATATAAATGTATTCGACAAATTTAAGAAGTAATAATCATAATAATTTCAAAAATATTTTCTCAAACAATGCACGTATATAAAATTTATATATATTCAATTGTTCGATAAAATATGTTAAATAAATTCTTATTTAACATGCCCAGAATGTAAAATCGTAAAATACAAAAAAGAAAACAAATAATTCTACCTGTTGTTCCGTTCGTAACTATAGGAGCAATATTTGCCACAGTTTAAAATAAGTGCATAGGTATTCAGTGTATTCAAAATATGTTTACAAATTATTGAAGAATAACATTAAATATAAAAACACTTACCTTTCCAAATGAATAATTTACTGTATCAGATTTTGTGACTCCCCCATGCCTCAGAAACCACGTACATTTTTTAAATATAGTTATCTATGATACACACACACTAAATGTAAACAAATTTTATTTATGTCGTCAAAACAAAAAATTCCAATGCATGATGATAAACAAAAACCATTTAGATATTGGAGCATGAAAATGATTTAACTCCAAAGCTTTTAGTTATTGATGAAAATCTGAAATATAAATATCGTACGGAACCAACACAAAACGAAGAAAATCTTAACATAACCAAAGTTCATGAATTAAGTACAAGCTCTAGTTTCGGGTCAACTAGTAGACAAACACTTAGTATTACAATGCAGAGCTCCTTGGAAGATATAATGTCGAGGGTAAAAAAATATTAAATTTTTTAACTATATAGTTAATTTTTTCAAAACTTTGGAAAATTTTAGATATCCCTCAATATTATGACAATGTCTGACACGCCATTTTGGAGAGCTATTGAAGGTGATGAAGATGGAAAAAAGAGTAAACATGAGCAACCGAAATACATTAAAATCAATTTACAAGAAACTGATGATATTTTAATATTTTCAAAACCAAGTGTAACTGTTCCAAAAGATTCAGAAGAAGCAGCTTTAGTCGAAGCTGATAATAAAATATATGAAGAATTAACTGTTGGTAAGAAGAGAATCCGACGCCGTGTTGATTCGGAAGCACAAACCGCTGAAGTATTATATAAAACTCGTGATACAAATACGGAACATACGAAAACAGCATCAAGTTCTGCATTCGTTTCAAATTATGATATGTACGATACATATAAAGATCTTGAAAAGGAAACATCTAGCGTTGAAATTGATGAACAGAAAACTGTTCAAATAACAACTTATAAAGTTGGTGGAATTGATCAATTTGCCGAATTCGTAAAAACACCCAGTTTCCAATTAGCAACAATGTTAACACAACGTGTTCTTGCCGGTAATGCTTTTCGTAATAAACAAAAACGTTTTCGTAATATGGAAATGCCAGATCCCTTATCATTAGATGTAAGATATAAATATAGATTAGAAGAATTGTGGGCATTTCCTGCTCAAAAAGATAAAGAAAGACGAGCGGTTGCTGCTATTGATTGGTGCCCTAAAAATGGTGATATTGTAGCTGTTGCTTATGGTATTTATACATTTGTTCCAGTAAAAAATCAAACTGTAGGCTACATCTGTATTTGGAGTATAAAAAATCCTGTTAATCCAGAACATCGTTTCGAATTTAATGTACCAGTTGTTTCATTACAATTTTCACCATACAATCCACAACTGTTAGCTGTAGGTTTTTATGATGGTTCTGTTGAAGTACATGATGTTACAACATATTCCTACTTACCGGTAGCTATATCACAACGTTCAACATCACCTGGTTGTCAACCTGTCACAAAAATATGTTGGATATCAGTTGGATCTGATAATGATACTGAATGTGATCAATTTTTAGCTACATCACAGAATGGTTCTGTAACAAAATATAAAGTAACACGTAGTCCCTATTTATTAGGTTTTCAACAAATATTATTGGATAAAGTTGAAGGAACACCTGAAGGTCTTTCTATAAATATAAGTAAAAAAAATTCATTAGCGTTGGAAGCAAGTCGTCATCCAACTGCTTTAACTATGACATTGCATCCGACACGAAATGACATTTATTACGTAGTAACTGATGAGGGATGTATGCATAAATGTTCAATAAATCATCCACATCAACATTTGGAACTATTAAAAGTGCATAATGGTAGTGCTTTTTCAATACAATTTAATCCATGGAGTCCAAAATTGTTTTTGACGTGTGGAAGTGATTGGTAAAAAATTTTCTTTCTTTTTTTTTTTTGTTGTAACCATATATCCACATTAAATAAACCTAATAATTCATTATAAGGTGCATAAGGATATGGATGGAAGGTATTTTTACACCATTAATAAAATTATCAAGTGGTATCTATCCAATACATTATGCAGAATGGTCTAAAACTCATGCAACTGTTATTATTTGTGTTACAAGAAAGGCTATAGAAATTTGGGATATAAGACGTAATATTTTGCAACCAGTTTCAATAACTACAACCAAAAAATCTTATTTTACAATTGGAAAGTATAATATTATTTTATTAAATTATTAATAAAGAGCAATAATATGAAATTTTCTTTTTTTAAGATTTTCAAATTGTGGACGTTCATTTTTAGTTGGAAATGAAGCAGGCCAAGCATTATTGTATGCACTCGAAGATATGCCATTTCCACCATACTATCAATATAAAGAATTAGAATCAGCGATATATAAATCTCTGGTGGCATATCCTGAATTAGCAGAGAAAGTTAAAAGTATAGGTAATTTTGGTTACCCCGAGCCTCAGGAATGGAATTATAATTTCGATTAAAAATGTTTTTTTTTTTCTTTTAACGATTTAAAAAAATTTTTTAACATTTTATTAAATTTTTAAATGAAAATGTAACATCCATATTGAAGTCGACAGTAAAATAAAATATTTTCTCTATATTATTATTAATAATGCTACGAGGCAATAGATGTCGCCTCAATTCAATAAATAAGTATTGCCGTAGTATAAATTAATATTATATATTTTAGTTTGTTCTATTTCCACTCTGTTTCTGAAATTCGTTATAAATTTTTCATATATTTTTATATCATTTTATTTTTCAATTTTTGATTTGTCGAAAAAAAGAAAACAAAACAGTTAAACAGTTCTTTAAATTAAATTTTTATCTTACGTATTACTTATGTTAAAATTTCGTAATTTGTTACCTGATTTAAATGTCTAAGCCGCACTATTTTTGACGCACTAACGAATAAAATAAAAAATTTTTGCATATCCCTTATATTCCATGGTCAAAAATTGAAATTTTTTCAATTTCGCAAATTTTTTCAAAAGAATTGCTAATCACTCATCGAAATTTTTAAATTTTGCAATTAAATAATCTTTTTTTTTCATCTTCTTAAATTTTCTGTAATCCTGATCAAGAAACAAAAAATTTAAAATTTGAATTTAATGTCCGCGTTTCTAATAAAATATTCATAAATTTTCTTTATGATACAAAAAACTTCATCTTCATCCCCAAATTCTAAATACCAACATAAATTAAACAAACCTTATACAAATAACAAAACCTAATAAAGTATATACAAATATTAACCTACACCCACAATTTAAATACCTTAATATACAAAATATTCAAAATATTCTAAAAATAAAATATTCCAATATATTTTAAACATTTTAACTGGGAATTTAAAAATTGTTCCTAAAGGACTAACTGTTACCATTTTTATTTATAACAAAAAAATTTTTTTTTAAATTCTGAAATAACAAACTGTATACACATAATTTACAAATCTATACCTGCTATATAACATTATAGGCATATTTGTTTCTTTATTATAAAATGTGTATCTCTGTGTATCTATTATATGAATATTTACTGCCATAAATATGTGTATGAAGTAATGTGTAACACACCTTCGCTATTATGAATGAACTCTGCAAATATACAGAAGAAAAATTGAAAAACAAATCGATACTTCTGGGAATAAATAGAGACTACCTACCTACTATGTAGTTAACATCGCAAACAACATCACTTACAATAAAATATTTAAGTAATACCAGAATGAAAACAAGAAACAGGACAACAAAATAGAAAAAAAAATTTTTCTTTTTGGGAATATTGTAGGAACAACAAAATAATAAGAAAAACGAGAGAAACAAAAAGTGAGCAATAAAAATTTCATTTCTACTTTTTTCTCTCCCTCTCTCGTCTTCCTTTGTTTTTCTTCTTTCGTTTTTATTCTGTTTTTTACTCTCTTTTATTCCATTTAGCTTTTTTAGTCCTATATCCCTTTTCTAACACACATTGGCACATCTGAAACAGATAGCAATCTTGATATACAAAAATTTTAGTAGTTATACATACATATCTATGTATTTGCTTGTAAATAGAGTATGATGTGTACAGATAATGTGTATACACAGAAATTTACTCACCCAGTCTCCGAATATCTTCCCATGATGGTCATGAACTTGAAAATGAATACATTATTATTGTATACTATAAATTTACACTCAAATTTACATAATAATTTCTGACATATACAAATGTTTTTGTATGCCTATATGTACCATACCAAATTACCAACGTTTATACTCTGATACATACATATGTATGAGTGACTCGTACATACTCAGTAAAGTAATCACATAATAACTGAATAACTGTATATAAGAACTAAATCCAAAAGGGATGTTGAAATAATAAAGAGATTTGGTGATGACTCCAAAACACATAAATTAAGAAGGAAAGTTAACATTTTACGCTAAAATGGTATATGAATTTAATTTTATATATATACAAGTAGATATATTAAAATATACTGTCCAAAATACCCCCAAAATTTTTGTACTTTTTTCACAAGTAAGATAATTTTCATAAATTTTTATATGGCAATATGAAATTCAGTATGCTTAAATTTTTGATAATATTAGCCGTCGTGTACATAATTGCACACACATATGGATGTATATTCGCAATAGAACAAATGAATTGTGAATTGAAATCTTTCAGAAGGCTATTTAGAAGGTCTCACAGCAATATTTTAATAATTTTTTCTTTATGTACAATGCACGATTGTGATTATATGCTGCAGAATTTTTAATATAAAAGAAAAAATCCCGAAAAAAAATTTATCATACTAAAATTCGTTATGGATAGAGGGTTATAAATTATTTTAAATTTCTCGTAAAAACAGAAATACAAAAGACGGAAATAAAACAAGGGATGACGAAACATTCTAAAAATTTCGACTAGAAAATTGATATCCAAGAAAATGTTTAATTTTAGTTTCCAAAAAAGCGAACACAAGCGAATTATTTCAAATTAATGTGTTCGAAATTTTCTTAAAAACTTTACACAAATTTCGAATTGAAACTAAAATAAATTTTCTTTCAATCTACAGCTTGTGATTGGAGAAATTTTGATGAGCAACCGGAACAATTTAAAATTTGTATTGAGATCTCGATTTAGCAAGTAAATTTTTTTTTGTAATGACATTTTATTTGTGGTTTTGACAATCCCTCTATATTACGTATTTTACAAGATATCTGAGTTCAAGCTGTGTTCATTATGTAGAGATTCTACCATAATTTAATATGACATTGAAATTATAAAACAATAATAGATTTTATTGAAAATGTTTAAAATAGCCCGAAAATATTTTAAGAACAGAACAATTTTTGTCATTCCTGTACAGTTAAATTGTCACACACGTTTTATTCTTATTTCAACTTATTGTCAGTGTACCTTGTGTTAAAAGTAATTCTATCAATTAATAAAAAAAATATTTAAGAATTTTTGCTTTCTATTACCAAAACTAAATTTCTATTTGTATTTCCCAGTACATTACTTCATATTAGATGTACATATATAAACAAACTTCTTATATGAATTAAACTTAATTAGGCAACACTATAAATGTATAAACGTATAATGAAAATAATCCTTGAAAGGAAAAAAGAAAGTTGGTTAACAGGTTAATAAAAACAGTTGTATATATATATAAATGTATAACAGTTATTATTATTTGTGCTACTATCGTTTGGTTCAATATTAACCATATGTTGGCACTTGGCACTTAAAAAACATTAACAAAATTAAAAGATACAAACACACATATGGTTTCTTTCTCTATATGTATGTTTGTTGAAATATTTTTAATTGCACTTCAATTCCTCTCTATTTCTATTATTCGCGTAGGTACACAAATTTGCAAAATATAAAATTAATGCAAAAATATTCAATTTTTTAACTATAAAACAAGAAAAAAATTAAAATTCAATTAGTCAACCTCCTCAATTTCTGTACTTTTGAATAAAAAAACTCAATTAGCTTGTTTGTTAGAATTTCGGAAAAATATAAAATGAATAAAATGAACATGGTGAATTTGTTTTAATTTTAAAAGTAAATGTAGAGAACATGAAAATTTCATTTGCACAAAAGGATAAAAATTTGAACTCAATAGGAGTCCAAAAAAGAATTTTAGTTAACAACAACGAATATTTTTACGTAAAAATAAAATTTTTCTGCTAAATCATTTTCCTCGAGTTTAGTTCAATGGCCTTGTTTCTATTTTAATTACCCTTTTTAATCTGATCAATATTATTATAAAACTTATTAATTTAATTTTACTTTGTATGGGGTATGATTGAAATTGAATATATGTATGAGATGAAATTGCGACATTGGAAATTCTAAAATTTTAAAGAAAATTTAATTATAAATTTTATTCGTTATTGTTTATAGTTAAAATAAAAGATTTTGACAAATAAATAATGAAAATTTTAATAAAATTTTACTTTGCTTTGGTAATGGATTATATATGAACTCCGGTGCTTTTAATTAAAATTTAATGACCTTGCTATTCAAATTTCAGAAAAGTAAAAGAGAATAAATTGGTCCATTTTTGTAATGAGTATAATAAATTTTTTCTTCACTTCAATAAATTGAAATAATTTTTAATTGTAAATTATGTTTAATATTCAGTCAATAAAAAGTTGACAGCTTCAAATCAAAAGTCGGCTTCAAGCTGCATATAAACGCAGTGTATTATATAGAGTCTTTTGCAGCAATCTCTTCTACTCTTAAATTATGTTACGTAACGTCACTTCCTTCTTACCATACAAAAGAACGCGTCCATATTCCTAAAATATATTAATTAAATAAATTATATTCCTTTTATGAAATACAATAAATTTTAATACACTTACCTACGCACATCATCAATTTTCATTAATCTTTCAATAACCTCATACATTATACAATATCAATTTCGTGAGATCCGATTTGAAAAACTTCCTAAAATCCTAAAATAAAATTGAAATTAATACTTGACATTTTTATTGAGAATTAAAAAACAAAATACAATTTACAATATTTTTGCTTGTACTCGTAGGTTATGTCAATGTCACTTCTTAAAAATAAAAATTTCATTGATAAATTTTAAATGTTTTATAAATTTAAGGGAAATTCCATTTTTATTCGGAATTCAAGGAGTAGAAGTAAAAATTTCCACGTATTCCAAATTATAAGCCAAAAAATTCCCACAGTTTATATTGTGCGTTCTTAATATTTTTAAAGATAATTTTAGGATTATGTTTGATTTTTATTTCTGACAGAATAAAAATTTTTATTTAATTGCTAATTTTCAGAAAGCTTTACTTTCGTATCCAAAAACACCTGAACAAATTTTTGTATTTATTTTCGTCACATTAAAATAAATTCAGAAACTTTTATTTTTAAAGGTAATTTTTTTTTATAGAGAAAAAATAACTTTATTATTTTTGTTCAACTAGACACTAAAAATATCAAA